AATTAAAAAATAATTATTATAATTAATTATATATTAAATATAATATAATATAACAATAATAACATCAGAAAATTCAGCTTTTGGTATATTTCTTAATTGAGATAAGATAATATATAACAATATTATTCTGAAATGAGGCTTTTGTCACTATTGAAAGAACACAAGTATGCACTACATTTGTAAAGTGTGTTAAAGGATTTCTCTGTTGGTGTCTGTCTCAAACATAAGATTTTGTATTGATATGGCATCTCTGTTTGACCCTATAGCATTCATTTTGCTTTGATTTGATCTGCTTTTAGCATGGTGTTTGCTCTTCAACTCCTAAAGACCGATATGTGCGCTCACAGTCAGGTTATTACCTTTCCTTTGAGACCCAGCACTGTGTGAAGCTTTACATTTCAAACCAGATGTTACACATGTATAGAGTTGATTCTGCTATAATTCCTTCACTGATTCCCCACAGTCCTAGTCCCTGTTCACACTATAGAATCATTCTTCAGCTAATTTGAAACCCTAGCTTGGCGACAACCTATTTACAATTTAAAATAGTCAGATGATTTAATTACAAAAACAGTGAAAACAGTTGAAAACAGTGATGAACATCAGTTTTCACTTCATATTTTACAACCTTACAGATTTGAAACAGATTTTTTAAAATCATTTTCATGTTATTATGATCTACTTTCCACATTACTACTCCTCTATATTTTGAAAACAGTTACTATCAACATCTATTATTCTCATGTAGGTATATATTATATTATATTACAGATTATAATACATAATTTTAATTTTATTTTAACTGATAATTGTATTAATCGTACTTTATTATATATATTTTAATTGTTTTATATTTTATAATACAGGTGCATCTCAATACATTAGAATGTCGTGGACAAATTCATTTATTTCAGTAATTCAACTGAAATTGTGAAACTCGTGTATTAAATAAATTCAATGCACACAGACTGAAGTAGTTTAAGTCTTTGGTTCTTTTAATTGTGATGATTTTGGCTCACATTTAACACAGCCAGCTTCTTTGGCAATGAATGTTTGTGGCTTACCCTCCTTGTGAAGGGTGTCAATGATTGTCTTCTGGACAACTGTCAGATCAGCAGTCTTCCCCATGATTGTGTAGCCTAGTGAACCAAACTGAGAGACCATTTTGAAGGCTCAGGAAACCTTTGCAGGTGTTTTGAGTTGATTAGCTGATTGGCATGTCACCATATTCTAATTTGTTGAGATAGTGAATTGGTGGGTTTTTGTTAAATGTGAGCCAAAATCATCACAATTAAAAGAACCAAAGACTTAAACTACTTCAGTCTGTGTGCATTGAATTTATTTAATACACGAGTTTCACAATTTGAGTTGAATTACTGAAATAAATGAACTTTTCCACGACATTCTAATTTATTGAGATGCACCTGTATATCTAATTTACTAAATATAATTATAAAACATTAATTATATATTATTCATGCTAAACACAGCATGTGCCTATCATTTCAGAATAATATTGTTATTGATTGACAAAACTGTTTGTGTATAAATTAACAAAAAAAAAAGTCTTATTTCAAATAAGAAATACAACAAAAGTTGATTAAACTATGTTTAGCAGGTGCAACAAGATCGATAATATCAGGCGTGTCAATTGATTTAAAAGTTATTATTATTAAAAAAAATGCAACTGATTAAATTATATGCCAATTAATTAATAAAATTAAATACAATTAAATAATAAATATTAAAAATAAAATAATATGTGCATTAATTGTGTTGCCTGCCTTGCCATTTTGCAACACCTAAAACAATTTGTACAAAATATCAATAATCCAAAATCCTCTTCCAAATAAGTATACCCTACATCAGTGGTCACCAACCTTTTTAGGCCCAAGATCCCTGACCTCGGTCTTTATGAAAGACAAGATCTACCTATTGAAGAATCGATAGAAAAAGACATCCCAGATTGTGCTTCAAATTTGAGGCCTCTTACTTAGTGGATTTAAAACAAAAACAGAATGGTCTGACTTTAGGTGTTGTTTATTTATTTGCTACATAAAACATCTGCGCGAAACAAAAGCAGGTCTGAATGAGACGCACTCTCTTGACAGCAGGTGGCACTAATGAACAGGGTTGCCAGGTTTTCGCAATAAAACTAGTCTAATCGTGTATGAACAACAACCCGCGGCAACAGTGTTAAAGTAGCCCAAATCGCGATCGACGGGTTGGCGACCACTGCCCTACATCATTAAACATCATACATATTGCTTCCTGGGTGGCATTTGTCCTTTCAGACAAATTGGGTCAAATTCATATTTGTTTTTGCAAACTACAAATCACTATACGTGCATGTGGGAAACGCAGACAACGCAAGCATATACAATGCACTTTAAACAGTGTTTACCTCAAGCGGCAACCTCCCGCTCTCTCTCGTGAAGCCAACAAGGAAGTGACTTAAACTGTAATTCATCTACTGGCCGCTAGAGGCTGGCTGCAAAAGGGAGTCAATCCCATAGACTCCCCATGTTAAAATGCTCAAATTTACAGCAGTAAAAAACATCCACTTGAGTGACAGGTGGATTGCCGCTGCTGTCATCACCGTCGCGCTACATGGGCGTGGTTTCAGCAACCTGCTCCCGCCTCTTTGCCCATTTTTGATTATACGGGAGTGACGCGCTGCCAAGATGGCGACGCCCACTTTGAGCTTCAAAAACGCTCTTCGGAAATCTATGTGTGACGTCACGGACACTACGTCCATGTTTTTATACAGTCTATGGTTTACCTACACATAACAGAAATGAAAGTCAAGTCAGTCCTAATAGTTTCAGTTCGACTCAACAAACACGCACACGAACACACACCTGTCATAGCCGGTGTGAAGTGAAGCAAGCAGCTGCAATTACCAGGTCTCGTTCCCCTCAGCCCCTGTCATCAGTGGCCAGCCGTGATTGGCGAACGAGTGAAGGGAAAATTGCGTGGGTGCGCCGACGTGTCAGCTAGTGTCACGTGGTGAAATGACTCGCGAGGAATAAGCCTAGTTAATAACAGTAACGCTGCCTGTTATTGGGCCTGTCAGCGGTTTAGCATCGCCATCAGACTGACAGTACAAGTGTGTGTGTGTGTGTGTTCAGATAAAGCCAGGCCTTTTGCATCTCATATTTCAATCTTAGCATCACATTTTTAAGAACAAAACCTCCATATTATAAAACTATTAGCTTTTTTGCTAGCAAATTAGCATAGTGGAAAGCTATAGTATTGAAGGTTTATTTGACAAAATGCAGTGTCTGTCTAAAAGATGCCTGCCTAAAAATTAAGCCTCACATACAGTGGTGTGAAAAAGTGTTGGCCCCCTTCCTGATTTCTTATTTTTTTGCATGTTTGTCACACTTTAAACACTAGTAAAAGGTAACACAAGTGAACACAACATGCAGCTTTTAAATGAAGGTTTTTATTATTAAGGGAAAACAAAATCCAAAACTACATGGCCCTTGCTGCTAAGGGTGGCCCAACCAGTTATTAGGTTTAGGGGGCAAACACTTTTTCACACAGGGCCATGTAGTTTTGGATTTTGTTTTCCCTTAATAATAAAAACCTTCATTTAAAAACTGCATGTTGTGTTTACTTGTGTTATCTTTGACTATTATTTAAATTTGTTTGATGATCTGAAACATTAAAGTGTGACAAACATGCAAAAAAATAAGAAATCAGGAAGGGGCCAACACTTTTTCACACCACTGTAAGTTTTATTTGAGGAAACTTTTGGGAAACTTTTTTTCTTTCCTATAATTCATATTTTGAAGTGTCATCTTTTAAGGCAATAGAACCCATCGCAGTTTTGTTTCAACAAATAAATTGTCAATGAAATAGACATGTTAATGAACTACACTGGTTAACTGCATTGGTTAAAATAAACTAACAATGAACAAAGCTTCTGTAGCATTTATTAATCTTATTTAATTTCAACATACAAAGTTGCATCTGTTAACATAGTTAATGCTTGTGAAACCAGTGTTAATTTAGCAATAGTTATAGACTAGTATACTATTATTGATATTTTGCATTTGTTTTATATTTCAGTTTTCGTATTTAATTTTAGTAATTTTGTTGTGATTTTTGCTATTAGTTTTATTTAAATAAAAATAAAATGTAACTTTCATTTATTTGTATTATTTTATTAATTTAGTTTATTTTAGCACATTTTGAAGTCTACGTTTTCATCTAAAATTTGTTTTATTTCAGCTTTATTGCAATTAACAAAAACAATTTCTAATATTTTTTTTGGTTGACAAGAACAACACTGTGTACTGAGAAATTTGATCATTGATAGTAAAAACATACTATTCTTCATCACGAAACTCCACATATATAATATTTCATATGAAAACGTGATGCCACATCTGTAACCTTTGTGGAAACAAAGCGTGATTGTTCTGAATCAGCGTGTGTCGATGTTTTCTTTGCGCTTTTGTCTCTAATCCATGTTTTCTCTAATGTATTCCAGCATACAGACATCGCAAACACTCACAATCACATGTTGATGCTTTGAAGTCACTTGAGTGTGTGTTTTATCTTTCATGTCGTCTTTTTGTTATTTCCCTCGATTTTTATTTTTTTATTTTTTTTTACGAGTACTTTCCTCTCAATCCCAGTCTTTGTTTGGAGGGTTGCTTAAACCAAGACAACATTCTCCGTCTGTTTTTGATTTATTTGAGTCAGATTGATTGTTTTAATGCACCTGACTTTTGACTGATGTCTGGTTTGCCTGCGTGCAGGAAAGAAACAAAAGAAAGTTTCTTCAGAGATTAAAGCAAATATTACCATAAAATCAGCAAGTCAAATCAGTCACAGCCTTACTGAGGTTAAAATCACTGTATTGCCATTTTAAAATCTCTCTCCATGTTACAGCTGTATTATTCTTTCATATATGGCTTAATGGACAGAGATGAACATCTAATGGTAAAATGAACACAACCGACTCAGGCAGAGTTGATGTTTTTATAACAAGTTTGAAACTTTGTATAAACTCCATGAATAATTGTACGTTTCCTCACTGCCTGACTAGAGTAGGACAACTGCGGAAAGCAGGACCACTGTTCTTTGCTAATTAAATACAAGCTCTGGATAAACCCTTTTTTTGCATAATAGAAAACCCAAATAATTACAGTCTCAGTCAGAATGGTTCCATCCTGTTTCACACTCGGATAAAAAAAGCTTCTCAATTATCACCGTGTTTTGGCTAGCGTCTAAATATCGAAGGCACACCCTTCCTGCCCTCTTCCCCGAGGTGTCCATCTCTCCAGCTCGCCATGATTGCCAATTAGAGCAGAAATCAATTTACAGTCTCTATTGCTTAATTGCTATCATTATGTTTACTGTAGAATTCATAATTTATTATTGTATCATTACATCAAACTGTAGTCATGTGTGAAGCACGCCCGGCAGGTAGCCACCGCTGAGAGGTTTTCTCGTTAAAAAGCTGTGATTGTCTATAATTAAGGGTTATCATTATATTCGCTCTTCCCCAAATGCCAGCATTACAGATTCAGCCTTCCAAGTTTGGCCTAAAGTTGTACAAGCACAATCTGTTTCTAATATGAGATCCAAACCAAAAAGATAGCAACAAAACCTTTACTTTAGAAGAAATAATTTCATGTTTTAAGTCCAGACGATATCTACCATAAAAAGCTTCCAGCGGAAATGCTAAATAAATTACTAGTTGACTGAACATTCATAAATAAAACAGAAATAATTGCGATTGTTCTTGGCTCAAGCTTTGGTCCAGGTGATTGTGAAAGACGTTTCGATGGTGTGAGATTGTGGTGTTGCGTCAAACTGCAGCTCCTGAATCTAAGGGAGAAGAAGAGAGAGTTAATCCAACAAATGAAAATGACAAAATGAAAGCTAAATTTAGCATTACATCACTTGCTCACCATTGGATCCTCTGCAGTGAATGGGTGCCATCAGAATGAGAGTCCAAACAGCTGATAAAAACATAACAATAATCCACAAGTAATCCACACCACTCCAGTCCAGCAGTTAGTCTAGTTAAACGGAAAGCTACATGTTTGTGGAAACAAATCCATCAAGGCATTTTAGGTTAAAACCTTTGTTTCTGGCCAAAATATCCATAATCCATAACACTTCCTCCAGTGAAAAAGTCAATCCTCTGTTGTCCTCTCACATCAAAATTCACCAACATATTTGTTTTGAACGGTTTTGGCTTGATATGGCGCTTGATTGGTGCAGATTTCTCTCCTGATTCAGACCAGGGTGACTTTTTCACTGGAGAAAACAATATTATGGATATAGGACTAACTATTTTTTTTAGCTGAAATAAACAGTTTGAAGTTAAAACCATCTTAATGATGGATTTGTGTCTGACAAACACACAGCTTTTGGCTTCACAATACATTAATTGATGGACTGGAGTGGTGTGGATTATTTGTGGATTATTGTGATGTTTTTATCAGCTGTTTGGGCTCTCATTCTGACGGCACCCATTCACTGCAGAGGTTCCTTTGGTGAGCAAGTGATGTAATGCTACATTCCTCCAAATCTGTTCCCATGAAGAAAATAACTCATCTACATCTTGGATGGCTGAGGGTGAGTAAGTGTTAAGCAAATTTTCATTTTTGGGTGAACTATTCCTTTAAGAGCTTAAACTCGTGTGTGATTACAGACCACTTCAGTGGCATGATGAAGAAAAATAAAAGATGTTCGAGCGAATCGTTGGGAAATGCCACCTCTGATCTGACATACGCCGCTGAGGGCAAACACACACATGGAGACAGATGGAGCTGCCTCGCCTCTTTCAGACTTATTATGCAGTCAGGAAATACTAAGAAAGATAAATGGTTTGGTGTGGGCTGGAACACAAGTTATTCAGATTCACATGCACACAGTTTCTTAGTCATTTCCCCCCCTTCGATTCTTCTCGTGACTCGTATAAGTCTCTGGAGCTCCTGCCTGCGGTCTTATTAATAGAAACGTTGTGGTCGATGCATATACAACTTTTAAAAGTACTTATTTTTAAGCAGTCCAGGACAATGTAAACCTCTCTATGTATTTCATCAAGCTCATTGTGCAAGGGTGAACGTATGGAGGACTATGATAACAAATTACAAAATACAGGGAGGAATCAATGGGGTGAATGCATTCAGTTGTTTAGCTTCTAAATTATTCTCAATAATGATTCTTATTACTG